ACCAACCATAGTAATAATAATAATAATAATTCTACTTCTTGAGAACTGTCTTTCCAAAACTATTCCAGTTTTCCAGAGCCTCCCTCTCATTTCCCCACTAGATGAAACAATCCGATGAAATCCTTGTTTTAAGTGAATTTGCTAGCATTACAAGAGTGCTAGACCTAATTTCAGAAATAGCCTGACTGACAGGTCACAGACCTGGAGGAGGGGTTGCACTGAGCAAGGCGCTGGGAAAGCTCCCTTCCATTTCCGCCACAGTTTCAAAACAGCGCTAGACCTGGTTCAGAAATAGCCTGGCTAACAGGTAAGAGGGGCAGAGGAGGGGGGCCGAAGAAACTAGGAAGGAGCAATTGGTAACAAGTGAACTGGCACTGCTGGAGCTGGACTGGCTCCAAGTAGCCTCCAGAGTGGGCAAAACAGCACAGAAATAGACAAAAGAGTGCTACTGCCGATTATTAGTGTGTGTGTGTGTGTAAGCCAGTCAGTCTTGACTCCTGGCAACTGCTTGGTCAAGTCCCTGCAGTTTTCTTGGCAAGATTTTGGAAGTGGTTGGCCCTTGCCTTCTCCTTCCAAGGGCTGAGAGAGGGTGGCTGGCCCAAGTTCACCCAGATGGCTTCGTGCCTAAGACGGGACTAGAACTTATGGTTTCCCAGTTTCTAGCCTGGTGCCTTAACCACTACATCAAACTGGCTTTCCACTGCCAATAATAAAAATAGTAAAATATATAGCCATGTGAAACTTCTTGTTGGCAGAAGCAGCAAAAAAACCTGTCATGCACTCATTAGTGACAGAGCCAACAACACACAAGTGTCAGAACCCAGCTTCCTTTCCTGCTGTAAATTTACTTGCAGCACAGGGCTGTCTTAAACACAGGTCCAGCAGTCTTTCAAAAGAGCACTAAACTGTGTATAAAAGGAGCCCACGTAAGAGCTGACAGTGCCAGGCACTGGACCTTTGCAGAAGTCCAGTCTCTCCTGCCACCAAACTCAGATTGCTGCAGAAGGCAGTGCCCAGCAACTAATCAAAGCTAGGCAGATCCCAATCCCAAACTGTATCATCAACCATGTTGTGGATAGAGCTTACTAGATCATTCCCACAGCTACAGTTGTATCAGGAGAAGAGGGAAAACAACACTTTAAAATGGGAACCGCTAAAGATGACTTTAAGCTGCCTCAGCTGTGGTCTGGATATGAGATGAAGGCAACCTCATTAGGACGTGGCTTAAAAAAAGTGATGACAGAGGTGCCTTTGTGCCACAGTTGGGGACATGAGGATGAAGTCCTTGGTGCTCTCTGAGCTTGGTGGTTTGCTTGCAGACGTTTCATTACCCAACTAGCTAACGTCATCAGTACAAGTCACTGATGATGTTGGGTAATGAAACGTCTGCAAGCAAACCCTGAGCTACATATATTCTCTTCTATTGGAACATGAGGATGAGCCCAGTAACATACCTAATCTTGACCTACTTCTTGGAGTGTTAAGCTGGTTCTCAGTCTAGATCAGCTTTCCTTATCAGGGAATCATATTGTCTCAGGGGCAAAACTGGGGAAGGATAATTGATATATTTGCAAATGTATGCAAGTATTACAAAATGCTGATAACGGTTTAGTGACCCCCCCCCCCCCCGCAAAGGAAACTGGATAGGGATAAGTACCACATCCTTGAAATACAGAGAAGATCCCTTGAACCTAATGCTCCCAGGTCACTTTCTCCCTTCTCTCCTGCATCCTTGTGATGCTTGTCCTCTTCTCTCATTGATCCAGGCTGCTTGCATCCCGGTCCTGCTCAGCAACGGGTGGGAGCTGCCATTTTCGGAGGTGATTGATTGGAGTAAATCATCCATTGTTGGGGATGAGCGGCTTCTTCTGCAGGTAACCATGTCCACGTTATGCAAGGGTGAGCGGGACAGAGCCTAGCCAGGTCCAAATGATGTCTCACCACTAGGATTTTGTGGCAGTATGCCCAGCAAGCTGTGGTCTACAGGAAGCCTGATCATGAGGTCATCCTAGCAATTGAAGAACAAATGCCAGCTCTCTTGTTTCCTCTGAAGGGAGGGCACAGAGAAGTTGCACAAACAAGCTTTCTGTTTATTAACTTAACTATTTATGATGTGTTTATTTCTTGTACTTCTGTATCATTCCTGCCTCGGTGGTTGACAGATTGGCTTATGCCATAACCTGAAAATGTGGACGAAAGCACAAGATAACTCTTACTTTAAAAAAATGCTACAGAATAAAGCCAAAGTTAAATCAATAGCCAAGGAAATAGCGGCTTTGAATATTAAAAAAAAAAAAAGGCATGGTTTTTAAAATTTAAAAAGTTTGGCAATGCCAACCATGGGGACAGGTGAATTGCACAAACTGTGGACCGCCGCTGAAAAACACTTCTTTTTGGCAGCCATTTTCCTCACTTCATGTAGCGGAGGAAATGTGAGGTCAGGCCAGCGAAGAGGCAGCCTGTTTACTAATCTTTCCCCAAGCTACCAATATTAACTTAGTTTTTATTTCTAACATTTTCACCTGTTATTTAGGCACAAAAACTCTCAGTTCAGTTCTTGTTTGTAAATTTTACTTATTGATCATTTTTAAAAGAAAAATCAATAAACAAGTGAAAGGCGAAAAGAAAAGGGGGTGGGAAAATGGTGCAGAAATGTTCAGTTCTTTTCCTTCTTTTATCAGTGTCTTCTTCTAGAGGTTGGTCTCCTCAGAGCTATTTGTTCTGATGGCAGGACGTTGCGTTTTTTTCCGAACCGTATACAGGGACTTTCGGCATCTTTCAACACTGAATTTTCTCAGTCTTTCCTTGTATATTTGACTGAAGAGGTCGATATTTCTTGTTGCCTGCCTTCCCCTCTTGATGCTTCCATGTCCCTTCACTCATACAACTCTCAGCAGTTTACAGCATAAAATAGAATACATATGAGACATTACAATAAATCAGAATTTATAAAAAAATATGGAAGAATAGTAATCAATACAGTGGAACCTCGGTTTACGAACTTAATTCGTTCCGTGACTCTGGCCACAACCCGAA